AATTAAAATCAAACACCTGCAAAACTATGGCAACACTTGCAGCATAGCTGGCACCACTGTATCCGCTAGCCTCATCCTGCAATAAAAACTCCATCCCTGCTCAGATATGGCCAAAAATGAAATCCAATGGAGAAAAACTCATCTGAAAAGCAGGACTGGAAGAGGCAGTCCCATGCTGCTCAAGCAGAGAGCTTGGCCAGCAGCACAGCCATGCTCGCCCCACGGAGAAATACCCATTATGTGAGCATGTCCTGTCACATTTCTATGCAGAGTTGAGGCTCACATTTAACTTGGGCTCTTCCTTATACCTGGTTTCAAACCCCCCATATTCATACGGTAGGACCTGGGGGCACAGGACCAAAACATCCCTGGAGAGTTTCTCTCTGCTTTCCCAAGGCTGACTATCTAAGCGGGAAAAATCTTCACCACTTTTGGGTGCTTTCTGAAGGCATCGCCACACGCTGCCACATGCTGCCATCTCCAGACAGATGGGAAAAGGTCAGGCAGCCCATATGCTAAGTTAACACCCCTGCGGACTAAAATATTAGTTCCTGCTATTGGTCAAGGGAAATCACAGGTGCCCTTCCTCCTCCTCTCCTCTCCTGCTACATGCTCATAGCAGGGACACCATGAGCCCCCCCTGTGCCTGGTGATGCACAGATATCATGAATTACAGCTGTCCATCCCAAAAGGAGGTAAAATGGTGAGCCCAACTGTCTAAACTGGAACTTGGCCAGAGACTGGTAAGGTAAAAAACCTTACATGGCATCCAAACACAAGCAGCAGACAGAAGCTGGAAGCACACACGCTGCCTAACCACCCCATGCATGGGGGCACGAGCACCACCCTGCCCACTCACTGGCAGCGGGGGTCCCCGGGGGGGGTTCCCAGTGTGCTAGATGTGAGAAAGCTCTTTGCACCCACATCATCTCTTGGATTGGTGATGCTGGGTATGACCCAGGGGAATAAAACCTGTTTCAGCTGGGAAGAGAACAAGTGAGGAGTGAAACCAAAAAGACCAGGGAAATCCCAAGGACCATGTGGAGGCATTCTGTGGAGGGAAAACTTCTCCTCTTTGGGAAAGCCTGCTCCTGTTTTTGGCTTGCCTTATTTACAAACCAGTGGATTTCAAAGCTCCAAAGCATGGCTGGATTTGTGTTATCGTCAGCACACAGCTCTAAACACCACATTGTTTTAAGATCCATCCCCGGGACAACTGTGGGGACTATTCAAAAATTCCTGAAGTTTAGGAATTCTTGGGAACACAGACAATTCTACCAAAACAGCAGGTATCCAAAATAGCTCTGGTTCTTTGAAACCTGACCACCATTTGAGATCCTCAGTCCAGAAAGAGCCATGAAGATGCCCCTCACAGAGAGCTGAGATGCAGGTCAGCATAACCCTGTAACACACCAGAGAAAAACAAGTGCCTGGGTGACCCTGGAGAGAAAGGTTCATTCACACTCAGACACAGTCCACCTTGTAAAAGCCTCACAGCAAGAGTTTTACCTCCATTGCTTCATTAATGGTGCCTGGTTTGGGGGATTGTCCTTACACTTCATTTGCAAGATTGGAGGGACGAAAACCCCCATGTCCGCGGCTCTCTGTGCTGCAGGAAGAAGAGGCAGAGCATGTTTGAGTAATCAGGAAGGGAAAGTCAAGTTTAAGAGACCTCATCCTCCAGAGCTATTTTGGGTAATATTTGAATATATTTGTAGGTCTGCTGTTCTGGTAGGATCATCAGTGCTCTAGAGAACTCCTAAACTTCAGGACTTTTGGCCTTGGTCCCCTCAGTTAGACCTGGTATGGGTTTTTAAATAAGAGCCATTCTTTCACCTCTGCACAGCTGGTGTGCTGCATTTTAAACGCCATGCAGGGAGGAAAGGTTGCTTCCTCCTGCGGCTGCCGAGCACCTGGGTGCACGCTTAGCTGGGCAGAGCCCTGGGAGCTGCGGTGTCTCATCCTCCAAGCGGCCATCCTGCTTCATCCTGCTTCCCCACGCTCCCAGCCTGAAGCAACATGCTGCTTCCCCAAATGTAGATATTCATTGGAAAGAAATGGTAACAGGGAAAAAAGGTGGTGGTGGAGCGATTTAAGGTACAGCTGGGCAGATGAGGCTGCAAGGGAATTAGGGAATTAATGATGCTCTAGCAGCTTGAAATCTGCTGGTCCAGAGATGAAACTTTAAGACGCTCTTGGCAAGCATGGGGAAAAGACAGCCAATGCCACCTGCTGGAGACAGCACTCTCGGAGACCCAGATTCATGGCACCGGTTAAACCCGTGTTTCTCAGTCACACCCAAAAAATCTCTCTTCTGAACCTTGAAAACCTGACCCCATGCCTGGGGGTCCGAGACCTCGGACACCCACAAGCACAGCCCCTCTGCCATCGCGAGGCATTGTTTCCTTTCCCCCAGGTTCCCAGTCTCCATTCCCCCGTTTGCCTTATCTGACAGCTAATTATCATTCCAGGGGTAATTGCTGGGAGAGCCATATGGGATCCATAAAGCGCTAATGCAGGGGGACTTTTTTCTAAAGAATCACAAGACCAGAGAAGTCCTATATATTATTGTTGTTGTTATTGGTATGATTGTCACTGCTGTAATAGCAGCCAAAATGGCCAAATTAGGTTGCGAAAACCGTTATTGCTGTGCAGACACAAAGACAAGGTTATTGTCCCTGAAGCCTTTCCAATTCTAAGAGGTTTTTAATTGGGAGGAAATAATATGTTCACAAGCTCTAATGAGAGAGTTACAGAATAAACTCAGACCTAAGGGGAGGGAAGGAGGAGAGAGGTGAAGCCTCAGTGCAGAGACCTCCATGAAGGGACAAAATAGGGAGCAGCCGCTGCCGTGGCAGCAGATCCAGGAGGGGCTCAGCACTTCTGCATGCATGTATGTGTCAGTTATCTAATAAGCCATTCCTTAGGCTCCAGTGATACTGCTACTTATACCATAAATTCAATGATCTTCCTTTTACTGGTCATTAATCTGTTTCGTTTCCTGACAATTTTATACTCTTTTGATAAACTATTTGTCTAACCGCTTGGAAGAAACAATGTCAAAAGCTGTACCTTAGGCGTTTGCCCAACTAATGAAGAAAATCCATCACCAGGAGAGTTTATCTATTGCTTTGCTGGATGTAAATAAAACGTCAGGCTAATTTACTTCCATTAATCTTAAAGGCCGTCGCTACAATGATACTTCTATGTCACAGTGGACTTTCTTCCTTTTCCACATAAATATTTAAGCAAGTACTGAAAGGATAAATAAATTGCCTTCTAAAAGCTGGATTATTTTTATAGCCAGTGATTTACCAATACATTTGGATTTACTTGCTAGCTGTTGCCTTTCAGGCAGCAGCCGGCGATGCTTCACCCACATGGGCATGGAGCCACTTGGACAGTTCTTGCTGAGCATCTTGTGGAGTCTCTGAGTGCTACCCCTGAGTGCCACCCCACCGGTGTCATCCTCAGACAGGGGGTGGCTTCAGTGGGTGCTCGGGCTGCTCTGTAAGGTCTGTACGGGGCTGCTGCAAAGGCTATTTGGTGTGCTGTGGCTGCAACGGGCGGCTCTGGAAGTGGCCCTTAAATGCAGCAAAAAGGCATTTAGTCTATGGAGGGTGAGGCCACCAAAGCACTGGAGCAGGCTGCTGGGGGGCATTCAGGGGTCACCGGCTCTGAGGGGTTAAGAACAGGCTGAACAGGAGTTGTGTGCCTGTGGGGAGCCTGGGGGGTGCCTGTGTGCATGGAGGGAGGTGCATGCATGTGTGTCCACACATGAGTATCTGCGTGTGTGTGCAGGTGGGCGAGCGCAATCGTGGGTGTGTGCATGCCCATGGGTGGGGTGCTGTGTGTGTGTTTGCATGCATGCACGAGTGTGCATGTGTTCAGCTGGTTGGAGCTGATTTGGTCCCTGCCTTCCTTCCCCCGGCCCTATTTTCTGTGTGCAGCCTGTTAAACACATGTCACTTGGATCACTGTGGAAAGAAACAGATTCCTCCTTGTGAAGCCCCACGAGGGTATGTGCCCATGCTCTCAAACACTGTTCCCTGAGCGCTGACAGCAAGCAGCACACTCCTGGGGTGCCAAGGGTGGGCACGAGGGTGCCGCAGGGATGCCCTCCTGTAAGGAGCCCCGGCAGGAGCACTGCCTGGTGTCTTGGGGAACACCTTACAGGCGTTTCCAGCAGCTCTTTAAGTGACAAAGGGAAGAATAAGGCAGAGGACAGCTGCATTGGGCTCTTTTTGGGTGATGTGTGGAGCAAGCAGCACCTCTTGCCCATGCTACTGGACCTCTGGGGGCACTTGCCTGCAGACGGCTCCACTTTCCCAACAGTCTTGCCTCCTTACTGCTCCTCTCCTCCATCTGGTCACCAGTGACACTAGCAAGAGCATCCTTGGTAGGATGGGGGTTGAGTTTAATTGCCTCCACTGGGATCCACCCTCACGTCAGCTCTTGCAAGGCCAGGGAAGGTGCCTTAACTTGTTTCTCCACTGTTTTTTCCCTTGCTTAGCTGCTGCTGTCTTCTTAAAGCCAAAGCACTCCTGCCTCAGCACCGCAGCCAACTTGGACCGTGTCCTTCTTTTGTTATCCCACCCCAACATGATGGTGCCTGGTGAAATTTGGTTAAAACAGCATCACTGCTGAGATGAGATCTTGCTTGTCAAGCATGGCCCTGAGTGAATTTTTATAACTACACTATAAAACCATAAAAATAAGTTTATCATAGGAAATATGACACATTCATAGCTGGAGCAAACTGAACCCAACACTACATGGTAAAGGCTGATATAAGAGCAAGGACTTCTCTGAATGGTCATAACCATTGTTCAAAGCCTCTGTGCTTTTCTGGCTACATAAAAAAGTCCATGGAAAAAATGACTAATTACAGGAGGCTAATGATCAGTCTCAGCAAGATCATGACTTTTGCCTCTCTCATTTATCCATACATGGCTCTTTGTTAAATCAAGAGTGATTTTTATTCACATGTGTAACTGCTTACAGATGTTCCCATATGTGTTTAGCCAGCAAACTCACGTTACAACTAAGAAAATGTAAAAAAAACTAGAAAAATCCCCACTACCTTGTGCAATGTTAAGGTCAAGCAGCTGCAACCAGAAACAAGGCAAAAACTGCTATTCCAGCAGAGCAAAGTCTACAGCTTTGGTCACCACACAGTCCCCCACCTTCCTCTAGATTCTTGCTGAGAACTTGGCTTATGTGGGATGAAAACATCTCTTTTGATGAAATTTCTCATTTTAATGAGAAAAACAAGACTGTGACTGATGCTACACATCCGAACCAATGCTCTTGTTACCATGTAGCTCTTCACATCATATTTTCTGGATTTAATTAGGTTACATTTAGTCTCCTTTATTCATATAAAGCTGTACTTGGACACGGCTTTTCACGGGACCCAGGATGAGTTAGTTTGTTCTTCATGCTTACAGGCCTAAGCTCACCTCCTGATAATGGATCCCCATGATTTGGGCTTTAGCAGGGCTACCCTGACAGACATCCATCCCATGGCACAGCAAACAGGGTGGTAACTCATGAAGTGGAGAGAGTGCTGGGGAAAAGGCTTTTCCTGAATAACTGGAGCACAGGACTCCAGGAAGATCCTGCCAGCGCTCTGGATGCTGATGTACCCACAATGCTGAGTGCTGACACTTTCTAAGAACACTTGTGCTTGATGATTCATGTCACCCATGCCTCACTTAATCTTCTCTTCAGCAAGAGGAAAATGGGAAAAAAAGGTAATTGCTTGCGCTTATCAGCATGGGTGATAAGAACGCTCACAGACACTAAAACTGACATGGAGCTGAGGAATGGAGCAGGGAAGGCATCAATGTCCACCTTTTCTGCCTCTCCCACTACATGGGTGGCCATTTTCTCCAAAGCTAGGGCAATGGGACAGCAGCACAGCACAGGTGCCCATGCTCGTCTCACTGAGACTTTCCAAAGGCACAAGTGACTTGGGGTGCCTCAAGCATACAGGTTCCACATGTAGCACTGGAAAAATGGAGGGCTGCTCCCTGAGGCCCTTTTAAAAAGCCTTCTCCTGGTGGCAAACCATCACCCCACAGTCTGGGAACTGGACGCTCCTGGCAAGCAAACACTGACTGCACGTCTCAGCTGGGAAACACACTGCAGAGAGAGAGAGGCTCTGACAGAGTCCATCCCTGTATTTTTTTCCTCCTGTTCATTTTGCCTTTGAATTATCTCTCAGCCCTGACACTTGAGAACCTGCCTGGCTGGGATGATGTTACACCCCATCACAGTGGGCGGCTCGGCAAGAGCCTAAGGGCTGACAGGAGCAGGGTGGACTCTGCCAGAGGTGCCAGCATGCTCAGAAAGCATTTTTCACTTGATTGCTTTCTGCTGAAATAGCCTGGCATTTTTGTTAAAAGGTATATTTGCAAGCCTTGGAAAAAGTTTCATGTAGCCATCCTTAAGAGAGCAGGCGGGAGCACTTTTTACAAGTGGCAGAGCTTGGGGTAGGTTTGCCTTTTAAGCCCCTGACAGTGAAGGGAAAGAGCAAGTGAGATATTTAACTCTTCAAATCCCACATTCAAAAGGCACTTTGACAGTGGCCCAGACCTGCCAAGGTGCGGCACACAGCACACAAGGCCTGGCACAAGGCACACAGCACATGGCACACAGTGCTCGCCAGGGATGGCACCATGGGCTCCCTGATGACAGCTGCTGCCAGGTGCTGCTTGCAGTGCCCGGTCCTGCATGGCCCCAGCTCTGGTCAGTGGCTTAGACTCACTCCCAGACACACCTCACCATCACCACCTCTGTGGGGGGAAAGACAGAGCTCAGCTAGGGTGACTTGTCCCTGCTTAATCCACTTTTAGAAAGCTTCCCTCTGTTTTCCCCCATGTCGATCCAGCCTCTCTGCCTGTGATGTTTTGGAAACAGCAAAGGCATCATCAGAAAGCCCAGTGCAAGCCATGGAAAGGCTGCCAGTGACATCCCCCAGCCTTCAGCAGTGCCTCTTGCTGCTTCTTTAACCCTTTCCAGGGTTCCCGTAGGCTGTTCAACTCTCCAAGCCTCCAGTTTTCGAAGTTTCTGGGATGGGGGGGTGAAGGCACCCAAAAAATCCTATGGATGTGCCCCTCCTTTGAAAATCCATGCTGAGACCATTACTTGATAACTACTGCCTTTCTCAAGCAGTGGAGGGTTGTTTCAGGAGATGTGTCCTCCTCCTTCTCTCTCCTGCTCTCTGATCCCATCTCCCTCTGCAGGGCATCCTACAAGGCGGACACACACAGACATTTTGAAGAGCCAGGTACCCACATGCAGTCTCACATCGCAAACGCCGAGGGTGTGAGGTACATCCTTTGCTGCTGGGATTTGCAAGGCAGGCATGCTGTGCTGGACGGAGGCTGGTTCAGCATGGCGAGTCCTCAAACACCGTCAGGCCGTGCTCCTGGAGGTACCGCAGCAGGATGCGTGCCCGCCTGTCGATGGTCTGAAGCAGGGGTCTCAGGCCCTTGGCACCGCCTTGGCTCTCCCAGAGCTCCCGGTCCACACGCAGCGACTCCAGCAACAGGCTCTGCAACCTGCCTGACCGCAGCATGGCCACTGCCGCCGCCGGGAAGCTGCAGCAGAGGAGCAGAAGAGAGAGGGAGGAAAAGGGTCACCCAGGGAAGGCCAAGCAGGGAGGAGGGGAGCCCCAGGATCAAAGGCCACCCTGGTGCTTCAATAAGAAATGCATATCCACCCGGAGGAACACGGGATAAGGAGCCTCCTGCTTAAAACTGCCCACGGTGAGCATGCAGGACAGCTGCATCAGAAATGGATCCAAACGAGCTCCAAATCAAGGGGCCTATAGCGTGCCAAAATGCCTGACAGGCAATGACGCAAGAAACACTGAAATACCTGATTATTAGTTATTTTTGTGCAGCTGCCAATTAGAGAGGGAAAAATAGGCTTTTGAGACTGCCATTAGCCACCCAGAGCAGGATGAAGAGCTAGTTTCAGGGCAGGGGCATGTGTGACGGGTTTGCAAGCCCACCCACCTGCCCTGTTCGGGGTGGGACATGGCCCCGCTTCACAGGGGTGCCTGACCTGGGGGGCCAGGAGTGCCACGAAGCCGTGCACGTGGGGCTGGTGTCCATTCTGCGTGTGCAAGCTCAGTCCTCACCCGGGCTGTGTCCCAAGGAGGGTGCACATTGCCCTTCCTACCTGTCTATGCCTTGCAGGAGCCTGAAGTTGAGCTTCTCCTCGGGGTGCTGTGGCCTGCCTGCGTTGTCGATGAACACCAGGCGAGACGGTGCACTCCTCCGGACCTGCCAGCGGGACGGGAAGGACAAGTCCGCTTGCTGTGGGGAATCACCCTTTGAGGGTTTAGGCTGTTTTTTTAATGCATTCAGAAATTCTGAGAGCATTTGGGGTCCAGTGGCTGCTAAAGGCCAGGTCACCCTGTGCCAAGACACCTTTCACCATGGACTCAGCGTGACCTTGGGACCTACATGCCCTTTTGCTGCCACCTCAGCCCTGCAAACACCTCCCAGGCACCTTCATCTTAGCCCCAGAGCAGCCCCTGGGGAGTGGGGGCACATACCAGGATGTGGACCAGGACCAGCTCCTCTGGGTTTCGGCACTTCTCGTGCAGCATCTCCTCCATGCAGGGCTCAGAGGGATCTGGCTGAAACCCACAGCAGTAGCGGTCCAGGCGGTCATGAACCTGTGGAAGATATTTGGGGACCTTAGCAGGGACAGGGGCCTGGGACAGGGACATCTGGTTGTCCAGAAAGAATTCTGAGAGGAAAATAAAGAATTTCCAAGGATTCTCAGTAGACGTGAGATGGAAAAGCTGCATACATTGATGAGTGAGAGAGAGGCAGGGAAGTATTCTGAAGCTGAACTGACTTGCAAAACTCCTTTGGCTTGGAGAAGAGACCAACAAAGGTGATGGTGACAGGCTTTCCTGACAGTGCTCAGACACCTTCTGCACCTGGTACTTCCACACTTTGTATTTGCACAGAGTGAACGATCATGCTTCCAGCTGAAACCAAGGGGAGACATACACAGCGAAGAATGTAAGAAAAAAAAAAAAAACAACCCACCCAAGGAAACCTAGGTTTTGAAACCTCATAAAGAATTTTTTTTCTCAGGCCAAGTCTTGGTGCACTGGATTATGGTTCCAGTCACATGCACACCCTTTCATCCATCCCTGTTGTAACCTGAGCAGTTCTCAATGGAAAGATGAATGGAAAAGGATTGGCAAGGGAAAAAGCAATCTGTGCCTTACACAGAGCATGCCTGACATTTAAGTTGGGCCACGTTGACTTGTTTTAACTACATTTGTGTTTAATAATTTGCAGGCGCTGCTAAGGCTCTGTGTTGTCAAGGCTGTCAAGCCCCCCCCTGCTTTCCCACCTCAAATCCCTGCAGAAACCCTGGTGCTGCTTGGCAGCTTCCAGTGTTTCAAACTCACCCTCAGAGGGATGAGGGACTTTTAAAAGACATAAATCTCTGTCATACCCAGCTTCAGTAACTCTTCCTCAGTATTCATGAAGCTTCCTCAGCTTTATCAGAAGCAGTCAGCACATCCTTTGCACTGACCTGTGGGGCTGACAGGACCTCACTGGTTGTTGACAGCCCCCCCCATGGCTGCGTGTTGCTACGACTATGTAAGGGAGCTGGGTCACTGCCTCCAGCTCTGGAGGCCCGTTTGCAACATTACAGCAAAACCCCCTCATATATACATAAAAATATCCCTTTAAAAGTTATAAATATATTTAAAATTTTAATATGTATATATATATTATATATAATATATTTAAAAATATATAAAATACATATAAAATATATAATATATATAGAAAATATATAGAAAATATAGAAAATATTTTCCAGTTGCAGCACAAAGGCATCCAACTCGCTTGATGGCTTGGGGTTGCTGGTGCCAACTGGGAGGCAGGGCTGGGGTGCAGAGCGGCTCCTGGAGCTGCCAGAAGGGTGGGAGCAGGTCTCAGGTGAGCCCAGAGAGATCTACAGGTGATGTCTACCCAGAAGACAAGTGACCCACAGTGGCTGCCTATTCCCCTCACCCTGATAATTAGCAAAAATTATCAATTACAGGCTGTGCTTTGAAAGAGAGTTCAATCTGAACCCCAACACTAATCAAGCACTGAAGAAGATGTTGCACACAAAGTTTGATTTCCTTGGCCATTATATTCATAACTCTTTGAGAAGCAAGATTAGTCCCACACCAGAGGCTCTTAAAAAATATCTAGGTTTTCTGAGATTTAATGAAACACTTGGGTCAGCATTTCACCATCAGGACACTCACTAGTTAAAAGTGCTAGAGCATCTTTTGACACGAAACACATTGAAGCAAGAGGAAACATCACATTTCCTCCATGCCTCTCCTTGGTCTACCTACAGGAAAACTCAGCACACCAGTTTCTCTCACACGTTTTGTTGTTTTTCCAGGTTGCACAGAAGGTGAAGACAACCTGAGGTGACTTACAGAGACTTTAATTGGGCTCAGACCTCCACTCACCCACCCACAAGTGCTTGTGAAACTGAGGTGGATTGGTGCTGGACCTGTGGAGGTGTGAGGTGCAGGCTGGACCTGGTGTCCAAGTAGGGCCCCAGAAGACGAACCAGCCAGTTTTGTGGAGATACTGAGAGCGTCACTGGCGTGTTGACAAGCACTCCCTCCCCCTGGTCCTTCCCATGTTGTTTATATTAATTTCTCCTCGTCAAAGTCTACACGGCTCTAATGAATGGGACGTTAAGTCTTACTGCTGGAACACAAATACATGAGCCACACATTCTCCTATCGAAGCTCAAACACTGTGAGAAGCTCATCTTCAGCCCCTCTTTGGTCCCACATGAAGTTTGGCCACCCCAGAGCATCCCCTTGGGTCAGACAGGGCTTTTCAGCCATGACTCAGCCTAGGATGGCTTCCCCTAGGGAAACCTTCCAGCTGGGAAGCGGGTGACAAAGGGCAGGGATGCAGCTGCAGGGCTTTGGAGCTGGTGCATTGTTGGCCCTTCTAAAGTGCAGGACAAAGCCAGCAGCAGCTGCCCCATTTCCACTGGCCTCGGCGTTTTGCCCCTGGTAAAGCTTTGCACTGAAAGGGATGTTACCTTATGGCAAACATCAAAAGAAATCAACATAGAAGAAGCCTAGTTTTAAGGCTATATGTCAATACCAATGTACAGCAGGGCTCAAAGCTTGCAGCCTCTCCTTCCCCAGCAAGGGCTGTGAGAGGCTAAAGCCATTTCTGAAGGATGCTATTTCACTGCTATAACATGCTGTTGGTTTGGTGTCTCTTTACCTTTACATGACTTTTCTTCATGGAATGCTCCCATTGGAGTTATCGAGGAAAAACTGTGGATTGCCCTTGGATTTATTCATTGCACAGTTTTAGCCCTCCAAGGGAAAGTCTCCTTAAAACTAGATACTTTCTGCTGGAGACTCAGCCTTTCCATTGCTCTTGACAGCATTTTGGCCTGGGGAAGGCAAGAGATTTGGTTAATCTTCTCATTTCTCTGGTTGTTTCAGCTAAAATATTTCCAAGCCCAGCTAGGACTGCTCCACCTCTGCCAGCCATAGTCTGAGGTTATAAAGATTAATGGTCAGGCTTTGCCAAAAAAAGAGAGAATAATGAGAACATATATTTTAATAGTCGGTTTTCATTTCTTATTTTAATACTTGCCCTTTCAGGCAGTTTCCCCTTGTCTGATAACCAAAGCTCCAGCCTCAAGATCCCTAAACAGGATTTTTTCCATAAAAATCACTTTTGCCTCGTCACAGCTGCCCTCTAAGAAACGATAACTCTCTGGGACGCTGTCGTAATCCCTCATAGCAGCAGGGTATGATTTTCCAGACAGAAGATTAAGCACTGTTAATCCCAAGGAGGAGGAGAAAAGCAGTGCTGTATGAAGGGGCAGGGCTCCTGATTGCCAACGCCAGCAGTGTGTCCCCAGGGTTGGATCTGATGGGGCTAATGCAGATCACCCTGTTTGTCCCTAGGGATGCCCCATCCCGAGCCTCTGCTGGCATCCATGCAAAGTGGAGGCAGTGGAGCTGCACTGGGAGAAAGCTTGGCCACATGGGAGTGGACCTGCTGCATCTGAAACCTGCCTGTGTTTCCCCTGCAAGTCCCAAGCACAGACCATGCTCAGGCCAAACTGCTCCTGCACAAAGCTCTGCAGCTCCCCGTTAGCTAATGACTAAAAATACATTCTGAGAAACCGCAGCCTATGCAACCCCCCCAGAGAAGGAGACCACGGTCAGACAAGGTGGGCACAGGCACAGGGGGACCTGGGTGGCACAACTGGTGGGACCAGTGGTCTCCATCACCCCAGTCCTACCTGAAGAAGAAAGTCAAAGAGGGCCAGGCGGCTCCACTCGCCGTGTGGGATGCTGGAGCAGGGAGTATCCTCGGATACCGATGTCAATCCGTGGGGCCGCAGCATCTCCTGGTACTGCAGCCACCTCAGGGCGCAGGAGTTCTGGTCATTGTTGGCATCCTCTAGGTGCTGAAGGTCAGGTGCCCACCAGATGATGGGTCGCAGGGAGCCGTCGGTGTAGCTGTAGGGCAGGAGGTGGCTGGTGAAGCGCCGGGCCACGGCGGGCAGGCTGCGGTTCAGCCCTAACACTCTGTCCAGGTGGAAGGCCAGCACCTCATAGAGGTCCCCAGGGCGCTTGATGAGCCCGCAGCGCCCGTCCCCGCAGTCCCCCTCCGGGCTGGCTGGTGAGACATCCTTCTCAGTGTCACCCGCGGCCCGCAGCCCCACTCGCAGGACCTGCCCGTGGGCTGGGATGCGGGTTTTGGAGACCACCTGCCCACAAGCCAGCAGCCGCATCTTCTGGAGGTCGTCATCGGAGAACCACGGGGGAGTATCCCCCGCCACCCCCCGCCGCCGCCTCCTGCCCCAGCCAGGGGGCTCATCCCGCCGCAGGCGACTGAGGGGTACAGGGAGCCTTTTGCTGCGGGCTCGCTCCCTGGATAAGGGGGTGGCCGCCTCTCGCTGGGGACCTGGGGGGGACGATGCTGGCAGCGGGTGGGGGGTGCGGTCCAGCGGTGGGAGCAGGCAGGCCAGGGCCAGCAGGGCCAGGGCCAGCAGCACCCCAAGGGCTGCCGGGGCGGGGGGCTTCAGCCCCATCCTTCGCCACAGTCGCTGGGCCTGTGGAGAGAGAAAGGGAAAATGTTACCAGAGGTCCCCACATAGTGCTATGGCCACGGATCCAGACCCCTGTGCCCCCCATCCCAGGCAGAGCTCTCAATAAGCTTAATGGGGTTTGCTTTGAAGGAGCAGCCCCTCTGCTTGTGTGCTCCCTGGGAAAGGTGTTCCCCAAGCACTACACTGCCTCCACAGCACTGTAGCAGGAAAGGTACAGCTGGTGGCATGATTTATGCTAGAAATTAGCCACAGTCCCTTCAGAAGAAGGTCAGAGCAAGGGCTGCCCTGCCACAAATGCTGCCATGCCTGCAGTGCTGATGTACAGGATCACCTTATGGGCAATAAGTTCTTCATGGTCAAATATTTTGCTTTAAAGATTCAAGAAATTAAAAAGAAAAAAATAAAATAGACCGAACCAGAGCAAATTCCTGGTTGGATATGAACCTTTTGCAGTTGCTAAGAGGTTTTTATCTTTCAGACCTTACTCTGGGCACCCTCAGTGTTTCCTATCCTGGTTGCACACTGAACCCATAACCTGGATCTCCACACCCTCATCCACAGGACGTCTCAATATGTGCCAAAACTCAGTCCCTGGAGCTTTGCCCATCACTGTGTCTGGCAAAAGCAAGGCAGCTCCAAGTGCCAGTCAGGAGCTGTGACAGCCTGTATTTAAAAAGGATGCAAACTGCTGTATCTGAAACCTAAAATATTCTGATTCCCAGCACCAAAGAACTGCCTTTAGATGGCTGCTACTGGGTTTTGGTGTATATATCTTTATGTACGCACCTTTTTATTTTTTCCCCCCCTTTTAGTCATACTTTCTACTCTGAACAGACTTATAAAAAATATACAGGCTGGAAAGGCAGTTATAAGCAAATACTGTTACAAGCAAATACAAGTCTCCCCACATTGCTAAGCTCATATCTCCCCTTTGTCCTAGAGCAATCCCATGCGTACAGCTGGGGCTGCCCTGAGCACAGCACCTCCTCATTCAGGGTGAGGCAGAGGGATGCAATAAGGCAGCACTGGGAGATCCTCCCAGCCCACCCCATCCCTGGGCCGCACTGCAATCGTGCCATGCTCACCTGGGCTTGGCAATCTTAACACATTTTGTGGTGGCTGAAGTGTCAAAAGGCCCCTTGGTGCCATCTCTCTGCTATACAACAGGCTTTTCCAAGTGGCTTGAACCCCTGTTGGAAGTCAAGGCAATGTTTAAGTAGATACCTTTTTTTGCAATTATTTATTTTGGAAGCACAAATATATCCATGGCAGACACAGTGGGACAATATATTGCCAAAGAAGGGATAAGAGGTTGTTTCTAAGAGGAAAAGCTTGAAAAAAAGAGAGCTAAAAAGCTGGGAAGGTGAGAGCCAGCAGCCAGAATAACTTCCAGAAGGCAGCTAGGAGAGCAGAAGCATTCCCAGACACTGGGCTTTTAGGACCACAGGCTCCCACCGCCTGCAGGGACCCGCCACCAGCACGACTCCAGCCTCAAAGCTGCCCTGGGCAACATCAGCACATGAGCCCCTTCATAAGCTGATCCAGCGCTATTCTAAAATCCGTCAGGTTTCGTGCCCTCACCACAGGGAAGCTGCTTCAACTGGCCCAGCGGTGAGGAACCACATCCCTACCAAAACCACTACATCAGTCGAGGTGGATAAGAGGAGCCACAAAGCCACCAACTCACTGGCAGCCCCCATGGGGATTTTCCTTCAAGGTCTCCCTCTCAAGGACTGAGCAGATTTAATGCAGCTTACAAGAGCTAGTGATGGTGCATTTGGAGTGATTCAGCTTTACAGCTCTCATTTAACTGTTTCTCTCCCAGAAAGACAATGTAGTGCAGCAAAATATATTTGCCAGGTCAAATTCTCTGCTCACACACGGCTTACACCAGCCTCTGCCAGGAGCCCAGGCTGTCTGGTGTGGGGCTTCGGGACCTGCCAGGGTACTCCCTGTTTTAGCTCTCCCTTAGAGCCCTGGAGTGAAAAGGAGATAGTCCAAGGTGATACCATTCAGAGTGATGTCCTGTCCTAGATAACAGGCAGGCTTATTCAAGGTTTGGTATTAACTGTCCCAGGCATCATAGTACACAGCTAAATTATTGCCTTAGGCCCCCTTTTGACCAGGGGATGAGCATGAATACCCCTGAGCAGCCCTGAGGGGCAGCAGGACATCTGTCAAGTGGCTGGTTGTGATACCTCCCCAGTGCTCTCCTGCCTGGATGGAATAATAATTTGCTGTGGAACCACAGCCAACACATACTGGCACAGGCAACACCCAAGCTCAGCTACCCAAAATCTTCATGCCCTGCATTTCAAGCAAGTCCTGCAGAGTGCAGACACACACTTATTCCTAAGCAACCCAGGTCTGGCATCCTGAACAAGAGTTTAGGGGATGTGCAATGTCTAAATCATAGTTTAAGCATGGTAAAATAATGCTGTGGCATAAAAAGGCCAGATCCTGATATCCTGATATCCCTACTCCTTTCAAATCATTCCTGTAAGTACTTCACAATCTGTCCCTTCAACCTCAAAACACACTGAATTACTGCAATGACATCTATGGAGTTAATCCTGATGGACAGGATTAACGGTAAATCTCAGTACTCCCATCTGCATCCAGCTGAGTTCCCTTCCCAATCCACTTTTCCATGGGCAACTTTTCCCAGTGCCTCCCCTATCCCACCCTTCTGGAGAGACACAGCCCACACTGCTCTCACCAACACCCCCCCACCCGCTG